GTAGTGATACTGCCTCGGAAACCCAAGGAGGGGTCGCTATGAGTCGGGGCCGACTCGACGGCACATAACAACAACAACAACAATTCTAATTTATAAAATAATAATAAAATTTATAGACAGTGTAATAAGAGATGATGTACAGATGGTACCTGGTACAAGTGTAGCCATTAGTAGTCTTTAAACTAGTGCTATTAATTATTCTTGTCTGTTTCTATGCCTCCACCCAGGTGGACCCACGTGGGCAGGTTGAGCGTATTATGGATGTTCCCTTGTGCTGGGAGGACTGTGAGCAGTGGTGGGCCGACTGTCGCACGTCGTACACATGCAAATCCAACTGGCAGGGTGGCTGGGAATGGAGTCGGGGTGAGGGTGCTCCACAGGGTCAGGGAGGAAGCAGGCCCCTGGGAGTTTCCCCAACCCTGGGCAAATTCTGGAGGTGTGGGAGTGGGAGTAGTAGAGATGATGGTAGTAGTAAAGTTTTGCCTTGATCTCCCACAGGGAAGAACCGCTGCCCTGAAGGGGCTCACTGTAGCCCCTTCCCCCATTATTTCCCCACACCAGCTGACCTGTGTGAGAAGATTTGGAGCAACTCCTACAAGGCAAGCCCTGAACACCGCGGCAGTGGGCGGTGTATACAGAAGTGGTTTGAGCCCACTCAGGGCAACCCCAATGTGGCTGTGGCCCACCTCTTTGCCAGCCCTGCCCCATCCTGGGAAATTTCCCATCCCCTCCTGGTCTTCTCTATGTTCTTGTCATTCCATTCATGAGAGCCCATTGTCTCCCACCCACACTCACATGTTCCCAGCAGCTTTGGGCTGGGCCACAGCCATCCCTTACTCAAGCTCTTCCTTAGAAGGAGCGGCACAGGTTAGGGGATTGGGATAAGACATTGCACCTTCAGGAGCTGGTGCCTGAATCTTACATGTTCCATCCTAGGCCCCTCTCCTGTTCTGTTCTGCCTTATTACGCTGGGGAGGTAGCTAGGGACTGGAGTGCCAAGGAGGTCTGCTTTGTCCTAATTTTAAGAATAATGAGGGTGTAGAGGTAGAACTCTGGGCCTTCCTCATTCAGTGTGTGCCTACCCCCTTCCATGGCAGAGCTGACTGAGCAGCCCTGGCCACCTGCCCTATGATGATGCCTTCAATAAAATGGCTATTGACCTTTTGTCTCTGTGTGGCCCACTCTGTCCTAACTCTACATACAGGGAGCCAAGCTGCACAGTGAAGGGACCAGTTAGGTTATTACTTACCTAACAGTTAATAACTTCTTCAGGGCCTCTCCTTATGTCCTCACAACATTTCAGATGGAGTACTTTCAACACTTTCTTTTTTCAATATGTGATGCACCATACATAAGACCCAAGGCTAGCATGAGGGATGGGGGCCACCCAGACTATCAGCTCTACTTTGGATACAAAGATTGAAGCAGCTGCCTAAGCTGCTTTCTGGCTTTCCTTCTTCCTCTTAGTCCTCCTTCCCTCATAGAATCACATCCCACTGGTCTGGAATTTTGGAAATTGGAGTTTTAATCAGGCTTTACCATTTTCTGTATGACTTTTGGCAAGTTTTTCATGACTTTCATTAAAGATTGTTCCTTTTTTTTTTGTCTCTCTGTTGAAAGGAATGAGATAGTTAGATCACATGATTTAACTTATAAAAAAGAAAGAAGCCAGTGTCAATGTTTGCTTGGAGATAGTGTGCTTCTCAGGCAGTGCCATGTCCTCAAGGGTGAGGCTGCAGGACTAGCAATGATCTAGAGACAGCATTGAGGCAGCCTTCATTTCCCTTTTGTCATGAACTGGGCAGTAAATGCCCCACTTGAACCTTCTAGTCCCTGAAGCCCTGCAACTCCCTAGTGCTTGAGGGGCCTTCCTCACATTCCTCTGTCTTGACTGGGGAGGCTTCTACCATGGTTGCCCTTGAGGTGGCTGGCTTTTCTAACAAGTGTTCATTCCTTCTAGACTCTAGCAAGCCCTGCTCCTCAGATACCCTTGGCCTCCTTTCCTCTCACACCTACCTTAAACATGCTCATTCCCTGAAAAACCCTGCTTCAGGTGGGGTCCTGGAGTTACAGAACCACAGAGTCCTTCCAAGTAAGATGCTCATAGTCTGCAGTAGGAGACAGACAGCAGCAGTGGGGATAAAACACTTTACTGGAAGTTATGAGTAGGGCCTAGCCCAGATAGGAAAGGGACAGTTCATCAAGCTGTGTGTGAGAACAGGAATGAAATGCTAGGCAAAGCAGCAGCCAAGTTCACAAGACATGAAATACTTGCCTTAGTAGTTGCATTACTAGAGATGATGCCATCCAGTGCCATAACTCATGGTGTCATGCCCCCATGGTGGACTTCCTCTCATATCAGACCATATAGAATCTGTAATAATGGTTGTTATCAATTTTGATCTTAGAATAATATGTGATAAATATAGTTGTAAACTGCTCGAATTAATATATCTTAGATTATGTGAATATTAACAGTAACATTGTTGTGTAAAATCTTTCCACATTGAATTACAACATTATTAGTAACTAAGCTAATAACTAACTAGAAACTTTATTTTTCTCCTTTTCCTTTAATTACTGTTTCATTCTCAAAAAAGTGATTGATAGAAGTTCACAAATACTGCCTACCACAATACTGTAGTTAAAAACCAGGGAATTTGACAAAATTAGCGACTATAAAAACACTGGTAATGATAAAAAAAAAAAAAAAAAGTAGTGTGCTCTTGTAGCAGGTGCAGACAAAAACCACATGATTAAAAGCATCATTGTAATTGGGTAATAATGACAGGTCTGACTGGAGCACGCTAGACATTCAAAAAGTTAATTAGCATAGAGTTTCAGCCTTGTAGGTATATAGATACATGTAAACTGGGCTTACGAAAATGTTTTTGTTGTTATAACGAACTACAGGGATATGTTTAATTTAAAAAAACAAATTTATGCTGAAACACTGCACAAAACTTTTATAGACAGTCATTTTGGTGTCACCCCCTCTGACAGTGTCACTCAGTGAAGTCCACACCCCTGTGCTCCACTAGTGATGCCACTGTGCCTTAGGATCTTTAATTGCCCTTAAGTTGATCCATAAATTGTGGCTTCAAAAATACATATAAGTCAAGTCTCTTAAGATTGGGGATAGAATGAAATGTCTGAGGGTGTGTGCGGTAATAAATAAAGCTGAGTATAATGACTTTTTTTTTTAAGTGTTTTTAGGTATAAATCTAAAAGTAGCCAAAAAAAAAAAAAAGGGTTACAATGGGTTAAAGTAGACAAAACAAGACTGAAAAACCAGTTTCCCTCCAGTTGATTCTGACTCCTGACGACCCTTGTGTGTCAGAGTAGAAGTGCTGCAGAGGGTTTTCAGCAGCTGATTTTTGGGAGCAGAGCGCCAGGCCTTTCACCAGGCATCTCTGGGAAGACTCAACCCTCCCACTTTTTGAATAGCAGCCAATCGCATTAGCCATTTGCACCAAAACAAGACTGAGGGGAGCCCTGTTAACAATGACTATTTATCGATCACTTACTGTTAGCCTAAGTGTTCTGTTAAGTATGTAACATTTGATCTACACAATAGCCAGCCAATTTCAACTCCTAACAATCCCATGACACAGTAAAAACTGCCTCTAGGATTCTCTAGGCTGTCATCTTTATCCCACTAAGCCACTGAATGGGTTCCAACTCCCAGCCTTTAGGTTTGCACCTTAATGCCTAACCATTGTGCCACCAGAGCTCCTCACAATAGCCTCGAGACATTCTTGAGAGTTAAGTCCTTTTGTCACCACTGCTTAAATGATGACATATGTCATTAGCAGGTTTGAAACCAGGTAAGTCTGTCTGCAAAGTCCCACTTGTAAGGCCTGGTAAATAGCTGATTTGGGCTGGAGCAGACATAGGAGTAGGGGAAAGGAAACTGGCTTGCCGCCAAGATCCTGGTCAGATATAAGATTCTGAGCTCTATCCTGTCCTGGCTGAGAGGAATGACACAAAAGGCATATGGGGCAGGGTGTGTTCCTCTGACCTCCTCCAACCTCATGAGATGGGGAGAGCCCAGCAGCAGCCCAAGGCTTATTCCTATGAGGCCAGACATGCTGCCACACTCCCAACTTTTTACCAATTCTGACACAGCTCATAGCACTCACTGCTTCTCTGCTGGGATAGATAGTTCATTGCAATGGCCACACAGAAGTCACGGACAATGTTTTATTAGGGAAGTAACAGGCTACTCTTCAGGTTCAGGAATGCTCTCAGGATACAATTCCTCAATCAGGGCAGTCTCCCCCCTGCTATGCCCTCAGGCATACCTCTCTGGCCCTTGGCCTCTGGGCCTGGGCTTTGCCCTGCTCTGGTAATTGTTTCAAAGCTCTTTTAGCTCTGCTGATAGGTACACCTGTCTGCACCCCACTCCACCAGCAAGGCTCCTGCCCAAACGCACTCAGCTTTCTTGTTCCATGGGCCAGCAAGGCCACCACGCTGTCTCATCCCTCTTGGTCTGCTGCTACCGTCTCTTAGTCAGTCACCTCTGCCATCTCTGTCAAGGAGATCCAGCACAGGGATCTTGGGGCCAAGGATGCACTTCATTCCACTTCCAGCTCTTCTGTCTTGGTGGCATTGAGATCCCTGCTTCCACCTCTGGGAGGGCTCATTTTAAACCTAGCAGAATGGTAAAACTAACCAATCACCATGTAGGAATTCCTTACATCTTATTTCCATGGCCCCATCCCCACAAGTGTACCATGTTCCTTACATTTTTAGCAAGCTATCAATCCCTTGTTGGACCACAAACACCTTATATTTACGTAGTTCCAGCCAGTCATCTGGTGGGAATTACAAAAACCATGGCAAGAAGAGGCATACTAAGTAATTCACTGCACCACAAGTGATGAATTTTAAGTCGTTCTTGTTAGTAGTAAAGTAACGCAAATGGAGCCACTGCTGTGGAGTCGGATCTGACTCACAGCAACCCCTCCTTGGGTTTCTGAGGCAGTATCACCAGGAAAGTTGACTGCTCAACCTTCGGAGGAGTGGCTGGTGGGTTTGAACCGCCAGCCTTCTGGTTAGCAGTCAAGTGCCTTAGGCACTATGCTACCAGAGCTCCCAGTAGTAAAATAGTGGAGTGGAATTGCTAGATTTGCAGTTAGATTATTTGTTTTAATCAGAGTGATACATGAATGTAGCTCTAAAGCACATAGTTCAGAGGATTTACAATACAAAGTAATAGAATCGCGGCCACCCCTCCACACTAGCCCCTGCCCAGAGGCCACTGTTTCTATTTCTGGATTTAGCTACTAAAAAGTTTTAAATACGCTTATCTTTCTATGATGTACTCAGACTAACTTTTTGTTCAGTGTTCTGTTTCTCGTGTTATTTTCCGATCTTTTTAACTTCAGTAATCCACCGTTAATTTCCAGGAGACATTATTTTTTTTTCTTTCATGTTGTTTTTCACAAACTGCTGTCTTTGATTTTCCGGATGTAATATTTTCTCAAATCTCACTGAAAATACTAATTAGAATTAAAAAAAAAAAAAAGCTTGTTTCTACTCTCTGAATGGCCTATTTCCTCATGGTCAGTCGGCTATATTTATCTTGATTTTCTCTTCGTGCTGTCGATTTTCCCTGTTTGGTGATCTTGCTGTCTGTCCATATTCAGAATGAGGGGCTGGGTTGATTTTTGTAGTTAGCTGGTGTGAGTTTCCTCTGTGGTTGTAGATTTGGGTCTGCTTTTCCCTGAGTAGCAAGGGTGACGGGGAGTTATAGGTACAGGGG